AGAGTGTGGCAGCCTAGAATCCAAGCATAGGAAGGGACACCAAGGAGGAGGGAATTATCAACTGTGCCCAGGGCTCAAGAAAGAGGACTAAAAATCAAGAATTAGATCTAGCAACACAGTCATTGCTGTCCTTGATAAGCAGGTTTCATTTAGTGTAGGGACAAAATCTTGTTTGGAGTGGCTTAAGAGAGAATGGTTGGAGAAGAATTAGATACTGTGAGTTTAGAAAAATTTTTTCAATTTTGCTACAAAGGGAAGCAAAGAGGATATAATTGAAAGATTTTTTGATGGGAAAATAACAGCTTATTTGTATAAATAAGAATGATCTTTAAGATAGTGAAAATTAATGATATAGAGGAGAAGAGACAAATGGTTGGGGTAAGGCCTTTGAGTATACGAAATGTATATGAATTCCTCTTAAAACAAGGTATTTCTTTCTAGAGGAGCACAGATAATCCATCTATAGTATTGGGTGGGAAAGCAGATGGTGGCTGGTGGGAGTTCATAGAAGCTCTTCTTCAATTGTAAAGAACAAGGTCATCTGCTAAGAATGAGGATGGAGGGGGTGGAATTGGAGGTTTGAGAAAAAAGAAAGAAAGAAAAAGATGTGAAATCATTGTGTGAAGGTAAATAGACTAGGAAATACAGTGTGACTGGCAGAAACAAGAAGGGCACATTTGAAGTTCATGCCTATAAAATGGGAATGATGATAAAAACACGACGTCAGGCTGTCATGAAGATGAAATAAGTCAATTCATGTAAGGTAATCAGAATAATGCTTGGCATGTGGTAACGCTGTGGAAGTCTTAACCATTATTAGTAGTAGCAGAAAGGGACAGATTTGTTAATTCAGCAGAACTTGAGCAACTTGGGCAGTGGGTGAGATTCCAGTTGCGTTATACTATTTATTATCATAGATCATATGTCTAATAGTAAATATAAGTAATAATAAATACAAGAAATAGCAATTAAACTAGGAGAAGGCAGAACACATTTATCTTGGGATGACTTTGAAGCACTCACTCACTCACGTCTACTTTATGGCAGCCCTTAATTGATCTAAGTATTAGAGATCAGGAGAGCTGTTGCCCTGTTGGGGGTGAGTGGAAAGGGGAGTGAGGAGGTCTTCTGAGATGCAGGCAATAATTCTGTTTCTTGATCTGATGCTAGCTACATAGGTGTGTTTCATTTGAAAAAAAAAAGGTATCAAACCATACACTTGAGATATTTGTACCTTTCTGTGTGTGTGTGTATGTATACATATATATATTTCAATAAAAAAGTTTTAAGCCCATAAAAATTTAACTTAAAATTTTTTTTAATGAGCATAGAAACAGGGAGATGAATGTCTGCTAATGTCAGTAGACTTCCTCAGAGAATGATAAGCTTGATCCTTATTTAAATTTTCCTTTTTTGGACTTAAGCTATCTCAAGTGGGTTTCTTCAGGCTGGAGGACGAGTCATTGATCCCCAAGACCCTCCTCCTGGGAGGCAGCCCTCCCTAATGACAGATTTGGGGCCCAGAACTCTTCCCTTCTCTCTCCCGCATCCTGGTCATCTTCAAAAGTAGATGACTCTATTCTCTGCAGAAAGTTAAGTAATTTTCAAATTATTAATCTCTACCATCTCATCAAGATCAACATTTTCAAATTCTGCTAAGAGTCTTGAGTTCTTTGAGAAAAGATAATGTGAACCACTAGTGACTAAATCTCATCTAACAAGTCTCTCCAAAACAGAGGCAGGGTCTAACTACAAATATAAACTACAAACTTGCCTACCAAATGCTCTACCTCCGCAAAGGAAAAGCAGCATCTCTCATCGGCCTGGGGTGTGAGATGGGGATGCTGGAGACTGGATCATCAGCCAACACAGTGTCAGGACTCACAGTCTGAGATGTCTTATGATCAGCCCCGACAATTGAGACTGTGGTTAAATTTATGCTCTCAGAAGCTTGGTGATTTATACCCCCACTCCAGTCCCCTAGATGCCTTTATGAGAAAATAGAAACCAACTCGGAGTCCAATTCCTCCCATACAACTTCAAGAGGACCGATATCCAGCCCATGAAGCAGAGGTGGCAGAGCAATGACGTGCTTGCAGCCAAGGAGAGATCAGACCCTTGGCGCTGAGCTCTAACCCTCTCCAGATGGCTCAGTTGCCCAAACCTAACCCAGACCCAGATAAATGAGGCAGCACCTTCTCTAGACAGGCTCAGATTGACCCAACTTCAGCCAATGCAGTAATTATTGCAAAGCCAAAGCTATGGAAACTCGACTCTTGATATCTGTTCTTCATGTGTCTTGTATGACCATTTTCCCTCTAACCTTTCTTTTCAGATGGAATGGATGACTTCACTTGCCTCTAACCACAATGATTAAGACTTAAAGACTATGTTTGCTTGGGAATAAAATCTGGCTTCAGTAGAATCATTCTGCCTCTATGTGGATTATATGTCTCCAGATCTCCTTGTACTGACTAGAAGACAAGAGTTCTGAGACTGAGTGCTTCTGGCAAGTTCACTTACTGTCATGGCCTAGTGGGAACTTTATTCATTTACAACAATTTAGCGAGCACCTATTTCTGTGCCATCAACCACTCTATCTACTAAGAATATGTCATAAACAAGATAAACAAGGTCCCTTCTGTCATAGGGTTTACATTTTAGAGAGAGGGAGATAGGCAAAGAACAAGTAAAGAGATAAAATTTTAAAAGACAGTTTCAGCTGTTGATAAGAGCTGTGAATAAAAATGAAACAATGTGGTGAGAGCAAGAGTGGCTAAGGTGGGAGTGAGCTGCTTTGGTGGGGTGGCAGGAAGAGACCTCTTTGGGGAATGTCACATCTAAGCTCAGATTTAAACTACAAGGAGGTGCATCCAGGCAAAGATCTGGGAGAGGTATTCCAGGCAGAAAGAAGAGCAAGTGCAAAGGTTTGAAGGCAGGGACCAGCTTGGTGTGTTCAGGAACCAAAAGAAGGTCAGTGTGGCTGGAGTAAAGGAAAGAAGGCCAACGAAGCATGTAGGCGCTAGATCATGTAAGATTGTGCACTGTGATAAGAAATAAAATTTGCCTGCCTGAAAGGGATGGATCACTCAAATGTACTGGGTAGCACCAAAGGGGAAAAAATCGTTTTGAATGTGAAGGAGGGCATATAGCAAAGCAGTTAGGAGCTCAGGCTCTGGAAATAGAACTCTCTTGGGCTATATCCCAGCTCTACCACTAGGCTATGTGAGCTTAGGCAAGTGGCTTAACCTCTTGGGGCCTCAGTTCCCTTATTTTAAGTTAAATATAATAGTAGTTTCTACCTCAGAGATATTATTTTGTTTTGAGGATTAAATAAGTTTATATCTTTCTGGAGGTTAGGATAATTCCTGGCATGTGGTAATGCCTATATTTTAAGTGTTTCATGGTTGCTGTGTTATTACTATTATAGACTTATTGATAATGAGGAAAGGACTTTCAATGTGCTCTTTACTATGTTACATTTTACATTTTTAAATGGTTATTGGGATCACATTGTCACAAATTGCATTACATGCCCTTAATTCTTCCTTCCCTTTCTTCCCCTGCCATGGTTTCTGTATTAGTCTGCTAAGGTAAACAACAGAAATTTTTTAAAATTTAAAATTAATAAAATTTGGGGTGGCTCCAAAGAACAAATGATCCAATCAAGAAATGGGCAGAAGACATGAACAGACATTTTTCCAAAGAAGACATCCAAATGGCCAGCAGACACATGAAAAAGTGCTCAATATCGCTCAGCATCAGGGAAATCCAAATCAAAACCTCAATGAGATATCACCTCACACCAGTCAGAATGGATAAAATCAACAACACAGGAAACAACAGATGTTGGTGAGGATGCGGAGAAAGGGGAACCCTCCTACACTGTTGGTGGGAATGCAAGCTGGTGCAGCCACTCTGGAAAACAGTATGGAGGTTCCTCAAAAAGTTGAAAATAGAGCTACCATATGATCCAGCAATTGCACTACTGGGTATTTACCCCAAAGATACAAAAGTAGGGATCCGAAGGGGTATGTGCACCCCACTGTTTATAGCAGCAATGTCCACAATAGCCAAACTGTGGAAAGAGCCAAGATGTCCATCGACAGATGAATGGATAAAGAAGATGTGGTATATATATATATACAATGGAATATTATGCAGCCATCAAAAGGAATGAGATCTTGCCATTTGCAACGACATGGATGGAACTGGAGGGTATCATGTTGAGTGAAATAAGTCAAACAGAGAAAGACATGTATCATATGATCTCACTGATATGAGGAATTCTTAATTGCAGGAAACAAACTGAGGGTTGCTGGAGTGGGGGGTGGGATGGGAGGGATGGGGTGACTGGGTGATAGACACTGGGGAGGGTATGTGCTCTGGTAAGCGCTGTGAATTGTGCAAGACTGTTGAAGCTCAGATCTGTACCTCTGAAACAAATAATGCAATATATGTTAAGAAAAAAAAAAGAAGAAGAAGAAGGTAGCAGGAGGGGAAGAATGAAGCGGGGGAAATCGGAGGGGTAGACGAACCATGAGAGATGATGGACTCTGAAAAACAAACAGGGTTCTGGAGGGGATGGGGGTGGGAGGATGGGTTAGCCTGGTGGTGGGTATTGAGGAGGGCACATTCTGCATGGAGCACTGGGTGTTGTGCACAAACAATGAATCATGGAACACTTCATCTAAAACTAATGATGTAATGTATGGGGATTAACATAAGAATAAAAATTAAAAAAAAAATTTTTGGGTGGCTCAGTCAGTTGAGCAACCAACTCTTGGTTTCAGCTCAGGTCATGATCTCATGAGTGGTGGGATCGAGCCCCGCGTGGGGCATCGTGCTCAGTAGGGAGTCTGAAGATTCTCTCCCTTTGCCCCCCCCCCCACACTTGTGCCCACACATGTGCACACACACATTCTCTTTCTAAAATAGATGAATAAATCTTTGAAAAAAAATTAATAAAATTCTTAAACAACGGAAATTTATTTTCTCACATTTTTGGAAGCTAGAAGTCCAAGATCAAGGTATTAGCAGGATTGGTTCCTCCTAAGGGCCGTGAAAGGCAGATCTTCTAGATTTGCAAATGACCATCTTCTCTGTCTCCACATTGTCCTCTCGCAGTCTGTGCTTCTCTGTCCAAATTTCCCCTTTTTATGAGGCACCAGTCATTTCAGATTAAGGCCCTCCTTAATGACCTCATTTGAACTCAATTACCTCTGTGACGACCTTATTTCCAAACCAGGTCACATGATGAGGTACTGGGGGTAAAGATGTCTACATAGGAATTTGGTGGACATAATTCAACAGCTTCACTGAGTGGAATACACCTCTTCATCCCACTTATTTAGGGCTTGATCATATGACTTGCAAATAGAATGTGAGCAGAAGTGACAGTTTCCAATTCCAGGGCAATATCTCACGAGACATTACATGTTTCCACATGCTCCTCTTGATCATTTGATCCCTGCAATCAGGATGTCATGCCCTGGGTCACCATGGTGACTTTAGTCAGAGTTTCAAAATGAAACTAAGCAGAACCTAACCTAAAGTCTTGAGTCCAGCCTAGCCAAGCTGATCCACATCTGGCCCACAATCACCTGCAAATTAATTGGCAAGAAATAAATATCTGTTGTTACAAGCCACTAGAAGTTGTGGAGTTATTTGTCATGCAGCGTTATCACAGTAAAAACGGACTAATAAAACATGAAACATATTTCAAATATTTGTCACTCAGAATATAATAATCAACTGGGTTTTTTTTACACCCCCATTTTCCAATCTTGATCCTGATGCCTACATACTTTTTTTTAAGAAGGCTCCATGCCCAGTGGGGAGCCCAATGTGGGACCTGAACTCATGACCCTGTGGTCAAGACCTGAGCCGATATCAAGAGTTGGTTGCTCAACCAACTGAGCCACCCAGGCGTCCTGCCTATATGCATTTTTAGTGCTATTTAATTATGTGTCATTATCATTTCAGGCTCTGATTTTTTTCTATTTAGCACCATGTCAGACACTTCTCAAGCAGCTTCACAGTTGTCCTAAGAGTCAAATGTCCTGTCTACATAGTACCTCCATCATCTGCTCCTCTCTGGGGGTCTCCTGTGAACTCAGGCCATCTCTACCACAGTTTGCTTAGTCCTGACCATTTCTAATGCTTCCAGATTGTTGCAATTATAAACACTGTCATAAAAGGGTGTGGTAAAGCCAGGCTGCCTGCAGGCCTGCCTGCTGACCACCAGGAGGCCCCCAGGATGTGCCAGGCTTAGCCATCTTGCCACTGGTCCCTGAGTGGTCTTCAGCCTTGTTGAATTTTAGAAGCCCAACTGTGTCGGTGCTCCTGAATTAATCAGATGCAGAAAGACAGTGATGTAAACCAAACCTATGCATTTCCAGCAAGGAGGAGCTCGCCAGGTCAGGGATTGAATAGCTTCTATCCCATAACGAGGGTTTCCACTTTCCCAATACTCTTGTTCTTGAGGAGCTAAATTTGTCCTAAGATTGGCGAATTTAGAATCAGAACAAGAGGGGAATGAGGACTCTGAGGGCTGTTTCATCCAGCCTGGGAGGATAGGTCTGATGAGTGACCACGCAACACTGTGCTGGAGACTCAGGTCTCTTATCTCAGGCCTGTGCTGGACAGTCACTGAGTCCCTTACTCTCTGACACTTTGGTGTTTCTATGTTCTCTAAAGAGGAATCAGAGGGCCTCAGCTGCTGGAGATGGGGTGAATTCCCCTCCTCAGATTGCTTTCATGTGGCTGAAAACATGTACTGTCACCACTTGGGATACTACATTCAGACTAATCTCAACTAATACACTTGAAGTATTATAAGAATATTTGGAATCAGAAGACCTAGGTTTGAGTTTTCATATCTTATCAGTTTCCTGGATGGCCTTGGCTGAAAAACTTAACCTCTTCGAGCCTCAGTTTCCCCATCTGCCCTTGTAGGGCAGACTTTCTAAGGTCATAAAGGTGAACACATTTTCAGATCTTGTTAATCGTTGTTTCTATGGCTGTCTGGGTCTCCCTTCCATTGCATAGAATTCTCCAGACTCACCTAACTCCTTGCAAAGTTTGCCAGGGTAGAATGCACCAATGTCTGTTATACCCCAAAGAGGCCCAAAAAATTCCCTTAAAAGGGAAAACAGTAGCAGGTGACATAAATAGCTGCCTACCTTCCACACACATCTCCACTGCTCAGTGACCCGAAATTCCATCCTTTGTCTCCCTTCTTGAACTCTCATTAAAGAATGGCTTTAATTTAGGGGCCCAGGGTGGTGTTGGTGATGTATGGAGATCCTAGCAAAATGTCAGGGTGTGCAAAAGTGACATGAGCCATGATTAGAATGGCTAACAATAATCAAGATAATCATATCTCATGCCTTTCATTTCTCAAAGTACTCTTGGAAAAAAGTACAAAGTAATCTTCAGTATTTGTAAACTGAACAGCATCTATACCAAGTGCTTCTGTGGTTTGTCTTCCTCTTCATCTTCTAGGTGTATTGAAAGCGGAAGTTGCAGGTGACAATTAGCAACGGGTGTTTGTGTGTGTGTGCAGCTGTGCATTCGTGTGCACACCTGCACACACATGGGGGAACACGAAAAAAACAAGGGGAGGAAAGAGAGAGGGAGAGAGATAAAAAGTGGGAGGAAAAGAAGGTGAATAGAAGAAGAGGAAGGCGAGACATGCTAGCCAAACTCAAAGAGCGTTGCAATAAATTCCAGAATAATACTTCATTATCAAAGATAATACTTTCTCAGTGTTCACAAATTGCTGCCCACTCTCCTGAGCCCCCTATTCCTGGACTCAGATGATATAATCAGTGTCAGGTTGGAGCTCTGGCAAGTCTGATGGGATATTTTGATGATCTCCCAGAAGGGCCCAGACTCAACTATTTTCTAGCCGAAATCCTTATTTCTGCCTGTGACTCTCCATGAGGTAGGCATTATCATTATGTCTGTTTTTCAGAGCAGAGAACTGAAGGCTGTAGGCCACTAAGGAGTTTGCCCAAGATCAAACAAATAGTGAGAATTCAGATGTCAGTCTGCCTGCAGGGCCCGAGGACATAACAGGTGTGAGCATAGTTAGAAACACACCTGCCACATGGTAGACATTCAACACAGCTACCACCTTCGCTACTACTAGATGTCACCACCGTGTCCAGGGAAATGGGTGATTCCTGCCAGGGCTGGCCAAATCAATGCTCTACCATCTTTGCTTTTTGCATCTCTCAGCTTGGCTGTGGATGTGTCTTATTAAGTAAGCCTTAGTCTTGTATTGGAGCTTCCAAGATGGTTCTGGGAATTGCTACATAGTGGGCAGGAAAATCCATAACCACTGACCTGGACTGATATACACAGCATATTCAGACAGAGCTGTTATTAGTTGAAACACAACAATACAGCCAACACATCTGTTAAAATATTGAAATCCTTCCAAACTAGTTGTTAAGTCATCACTAACCCCAGCTCCCCAGTGCCCACCACCATCCTGGAAATCCCGGCTCTCCCCAAAGGTATTCCCTCAATGCAGCAACTGCAATGGTTAATTTTATGTCACTTTTATTGGGCCACGGGGTGCCCAGATATTTGGGTAAACCTTATTCTGAGTGTGTCTGTGAGGGTTATTTCTATATGAGATTTACATTTGAATCAGTGGACTGAGTATAGCAGATTGCCCTCCCTGAGGTGAGTGGCCCTCATCCAAACAGTGGGAGACCTGAATAGAACAAAAAGTCTGGGCAAGAGGGACTTCTCTCTGACTGACTGTTTCAAGCTGGGACATTGGTCTCTTCCTGCCTTTGGACTCAGACTCGGGCTGGGACTGACACCACCAGCTCTCCTGGGTCTCCAGCTTGCTGAGTGCTGCTCTTGGGACCACTCAGCCTCTCTAGTCACGTGAGCCAATTCCTTCTATATTGGAAGATAGATAGATGATAGATAGACAGATGATAGATAGATACACAGATAAATAGAGAGAGAAAGACAGAGATTCAATTTGGTAGATATAGATATTGATATCGATATCTGTTTCTCTGGAGAACTCAGACTAATACATCATCTAAAGGGTTGATGCCTAACCAGCAAGCAGCCTCTGGCACCGTCCTTGAGCCAGTGTGGCAGAGTATCATTGAGATGAGTTACTGCTGGAGAGCCCCCCGTAATTAAGCATGTTGGCTCCCGCAACAGGTGTGTGCATCTGGCTATGCCCGGCAGCCACTTCCCTGGAGAGCACGGAGGGGCTGGAGGAGGAGTCACGGGTTCGACCTTCTAATCACACCGGGTCCCACCCATCCTGCTGTAAGAGAGGCTGCTTCTTCCGCCAGCCCAACATCAGTGCCTGTTCGTCCGGCCTGAGCCAAAATGCTTCGATAAATCATTGCCATCTGTGGGTGGAATCTACTGAGGGGAAGTGGGGGGCCCCCCCGAGAGCGGACTGGGCGTGGTTTGCTAGGAGAGGCACAGCCCATAGGTGTTTGGCTTGTAATAGGTCTGTGTCCAAGATCCAGATCCCAGTACCTCTAAGTCCCTGTCCAGAGCCCACGTGAAAGGGAACCTCAGTTTTGTCTTCATTCTTCCTGGGCCCACTCACACACAGACTCAGATGGGAAGGAGCTGTATGGTCTTTTCCACTGCGTATATTTGCCAGTATAATCAGATGTCGAGAAAAATGTATGTCATCAAATAAAGAAGTCGGTATGTCCCAGAAACTTCTGTAGGAGGGGGAAAGACTCAGAAAAACCACAGGGAAGTAGACGAACTCCCAAGCTGATAGGGAGTTGCCATTGCTGTGTGTTGTCTTTGCTCAGCAGTAAAGCCGACTCAACACCGGGGCTTTTTAAAAAATCATCAGTTCCTGCGTGTTAGTGCAGGTTTAGCTGCAGTCTTCAGGCCTCTGATGCTCGTCGTTCTGCGTGAGAGATGTGTGAAAAGACGGAATGCGTTCTTGTGTGAGTGCGGGGATAAAAGCAGGAGGAAGGGTGGGAGAAGGAGAATATAGAAAGCAGAATTAAAGCAGCATTTGAGACAGATGGCAGGAGAGGAAACTAAGACATTTCCTTTCTTGGCGTAACTGAGGCAATGGATCAGAGCTGAGTGTTGAGCTCCAGAAGACCGCTGTGTGAGAAGCCCCGAGGGCGAGCACTGGGTGGTACCTGGGAGCTGGAGCAACCCAGCCAGGGGTGCGCATGGAGTCCCGGAGCCTCCTGCATGGGCGGCTCTCTGTCCCCTCACATGTCTAGGTTAGACAAGCTGACCGGAGACCAGCACTGGCATCCCCTGGTGAAGATCCACGTTGCTGCTTAGTCTTCAAATATTTCTCCTTTCCCTTCCCGAAGCTTTGGGATTTGTCTGGTTCTGCCCTCGGGGGAGGGTGCAAGCAATCCTCTTGGTGGCTAGATATTGGTGGCAAGCTCCAGATGCAGGACTCTTGAGTGGCGGCTGAAGGCCAGAGGATGCCAGGACCCCCAGAGAGGAAGGGCAGACTCCTGGGGGCTCCCCAAGGATGAAGATCACCAACCTGGCAGCCAAGGTAGCATGGGTTCCTTGGTCTCGCCTGATAATGGTCCAGGACGTGTGCTGCTATGGCTATGGG